TATAACCCAGCACCTTGGGATCCTGAGGCAAGAGGATCACTTGAGGCCAGGAGCTTGAGACCAGGCAGGACAACACAGCAAGACCCCCGTCTCTAGAAAAAATAATTAACCACGTGTGGTGGTGCGTGCCTGTAGTCCTGGCTACTCATGAGGCTGAGGTGGGAGGATCCCTTGAGCCCAGGAGTTTGAGGTTACAGTGAGCTATGATAATGCTACTGCACTCTAGCCTGGGCAACAGAGTAAGACCCTTTCTCTAAAAAAAAATAATAATAAATAGATAAATAAATAATCTTTAGATGATTTTGTTGGGATAACTGAAGGCTACAAGAGATATGTATTTGAAGGACTATTTTAGTACAAAGCAAGTTCTTAGCCCAAAATTGGAAAAACATTACTTCCTTCTTCCTCCTAAGCTTCTTGGCAGGAAGGTCCACTGTATAATTTTAAATTTAAAAGTTCTGTCAGGTATTGCCTAAGGTAAAAACCTGTATTGTAAGACAGAAAAACTCTGCCTAGGACTTCAGTAGCCCAGAGAGGGAAGGGCTTAATGTGTGTCTGAAAAGATGAGTTTTAGAAAGCAAGAAAAAGAGATCCTTCCCACTTCAACTCCTTACCCTCCTCTACCTCTAGTGAAAACAGACCTTCTTCCACCTTATCCACAGGCTCCTCCACCAAGCCAACACCAGACTCCTGCAATCATAGGATGGCAGCACCACCTCTAAAGCAAGAACTTCAGGCTTTGATTTGGAAGTGGCACCATAGCCTCTTCATTTACCCTTTCTTCAAGGTCAGAAAACTCCTGACGCTGTTAGGAGTTTTAGTGTAAGTTCCCTCTGAGGATATTAATGTAGGCTTCAAACTGTTTTGTTCCGAGAAATACAAATTAAACTCCAGTCATTCAAGCTAACAGTTGAGGTGTTCTATGGCTTCAAAATCAAGTAAGATTTGCAAGTGAATTGCTAAATACAGACAACCATTTTTTATTATATGCCACACAAACAGTGGAGGAAATTATGGGTACCACCATCCAAGTGATTGAGATTATTAATTTTAGGTAGCAGGCCAATTCAGACATGTCCACTCATCCTCAATGGCAGGAGGCCTCTCACATCTCCTCCCTATAACCCATGTCAGTACTTCTGTCTACAGTATAGAATTTCAGTCTTGAAAGGAGGGTGTGGTTATTGAAAGAAAATCTACAAACTTTACCCTGATGATCCTTTCTGACATCCATTGAAACCAAAGTAGTAATTTGCCAGTTCTTGGCATCAGGAGCTGTTTAAGGCAAGGGCCTGATGTGGAACTGCCTTATGTCTGGTGCCAAGACGAGCATTAAAGTCACAAGATTTCACATAAATATCACAGCCTGCTAGAGATTTTGATACACCTGAGATTTATCAATACCAACTGTGCAAAGAAAAGAAATTGTTTCTGTCTTCCCATTCAGTAGCTCCTTCTTGAGGCTATGACCTGGAGAATAGATAAGATGACCCCACCACCCATCCCTCTCCCCAAGTTACTAACCCGTTTAAAAACGAAATACACATATTTCTATATATTTTACAAGCAACTAAAACTAATAGAGGTTCATCTGCATTTATAAGCTTTAGAATGCAAATATCTACTGAGTATTAATTCTTGAAATATTTTACACATTTCTGTGAATTTCTTACATCACCAGTTATTTCTTATATGTCTATTTCATTGTTAAGTGTAGTATATGATTATATTCATGAAATTCAAATGATACCAATAAAGTCAAATTTATTATATTAGAAATTAATAAGAATTAACAGTGAAGTTAATTCTTTATTGATTTCTTTATGCACCTTCCTCTATCACTGGTTTATAAGCTCCGTAAGTGCCACAGGAAACCGTATCTCATTCTTTTTTATTCCCAGAACCAAGCACAGTTCTTGCCCTATGATAGAGGATAGATGATCTGTTGATTGAGTGAATGAATAAAACAATGAGTAAGCAAAAAATGAAGTCACTTTCTCCAACTGAAGAGAAGGAGAAATGCTTGCTGGGAAGGAGAAATGGAGACTAATTTTTAAATGTTGAGTGCTACCGGAAAGACCAGCCTGGATCATGAGTCACAGTGGAGCCTTTTTGGACAACCATGAAACTTCAGAAGGACTCTGAGCCCCTGGGTGGTACAGACATAACGTTGCCACAGTTCTTGCTGGCAACCATTTCCCTTCATTTCACTGAAAAAAACAAAACAAAACCCTCTGGGGTGCCTTAGGCCTTTCCTCGATTTTATTTTAAAACATTATTCTCTTTTCTGTATTTATAAAAAGCAAAAAAGACAGGAACTAGGTGTATGTGCTAAAGTAGAAAAGAACCCTTAAGGCCGGGTGCAGTGGCTCACACCTGTAATCCCAGCACTTTGGGAGGCCGAGGTGGGTGGATCGCCTGAGGTCAGGAGTTTGGGACCAGCCTGACCAACATGGTGAAACCCTGTCTCTGTCAAAAATACAAAAATTAGCAGGGCGTGGTGGCGGGTGCCTCTAATCCCAGCTACTTGGGAGACTGAGACAGGAGAGTCGCTTGAGCCCAGGAGGCGGAGGTTACAGTGAGCCGAGACCAGGCCATCGCACTCAAGCCTGGGCAACAAGAGGGAAATTCTGTCTCAAAATTAAAAAAAAAAAAAAAAAAAAAAAAAGTAAAAGAAAAGGACACTTAAACACTTAAACGAGATAGCAGTGGTGGTCAGGTAGTAACCCAAGGCTCTGAGTTCAGTAAGTAAATAAATTTAATATGAATGCCCTCTTCTGTCATCTATCTATTGACTTGGAGAACATTTCCTTCATTACTGCATCAGTGATGAGCTTTATGCTGTGAAATTCTCAAAACCTAAAGCTTATGAAATGGTCTCAACGTCCAAAGCGCACTACAAACTCATTACTTACAACATGATGCCAAGTAACTGTTTCATCATCTTTACCGTACCTTTACAATATTTGAGTGGCTATGTGAAATGGTCACAGGTTAGAAACAGATCATAGTCCAAAAGCTAAATAATATCTCACAGGTAATCATTTCAGTCACAGGAAGTGGAACCAGGATTGAAGAGGGTGTTGAACAAGCTACGGAAGCGGGTATAGTATACCCGGAGTCATTACTAAGCAGAGTTCTCAGATTTGATCAAGGTTAATTCAGTGAGGAATGGAATATAGACAAGAATAGGCAGCAAGATTAGCAGGAAGCAGTCAGATCAAGTAGCCAATCAGGAATTGAAATGGTCCTTGAAAAAGGAAAGGTGATTGAATTGAGGCATACAATGTAATATCATTCTGTGACTCTGGGAAAGTAAAATTGGTTGGCATGTTAGTATGGAATAGGGGTTTCTACGAGGCCGCTTAAAGAATGTTCTCATCCTCTGAGAACTGAAGGGAGTTCCAAATAGGCAGTTTGTGAGTGAAGATGAGCATGATGATGATGATGATAAAGTCTCCTTTATGTAACAGCCGGCAGAAGAGTTGGTCACACCCACACATTTTACATTCACATTAAAGTAAATTTATGGCCGGGTGTGGTGGCTCACACCTGTAGTCTCAGCACTTTGGGGGGCCGAGGCAGGCAGATCACTTGAGGTCAGGAGTTGGAGACCAGCCTGGCCAACAGGGTGAAACTCCATCTCTACTAAAGTACAAAAATTAGCCAGGCGTGGTGGTGTGCGCCTGTAGTCCAGGCTACTCAGGAGGCTGAGGCAGGAGAATTGCTAGAACCCAGGAGGCGGAGGTTGCAGTGAGCCAAGATTGTGCCACTGCACTCCAGCCTGGGCGACAGACACTCCATCTCAAAAAAAAAAAAAAAAAATGTATAGCTAGGCCTCGTGGCTTGTACCTAGCTACTTAAGAGGCTGAGGCAGGAGGATTGCTTGAGGTCAGGATTTAGAGACCAGCCTGGGCAACACAGGGATACTGTGTCTCTAAAAGTTTTTAAAAAGTGAATATAAGCAGAATTCTGGTGAAAATTTCATTCATTCATTCATTCATTTTTTAGAGATAGGGTTTCATTCTGTTGCCCAGGCAATGATACAATCACAGCTCACTGCAGCCTCAAACTCCTGGGATCAAGCAATCCTTCCATCTCAACCTCCCAAATAGCTGGGACTACAGGTGTATGCCACCACAACCGGCTGATTTAAATCCTCTCTCTCTCTCTCTCTGTCTGTCTCTATCTCTGTCTGTCTGTCTTTCCTTCTTTCGTCTCACTCTGTTGCCCAGGCTGGAGTGCAGTGGCACAATCTCACCTCACTGAAACCTCCACCTCCTGGGCTCAAGCAATTCTCCTGCCTCAGCTTCCCAAGTAGCTGGGATTGCAGGCACCCACCACCACACCCAGCTAATTTTGTATTTTTAGTAGAGACAGGATTTCACCATGTTGGCCAGACTGGTCTCAAACTCCTGATCTTAAGTGATCCACCCACCTTGGCCTCCCAGAGTGCTGGGATTACAGGTGTGAGCCACTGCACCCGGCCTGAAAAAAATAATACTTTTGATAAATCTGAAAATCCGGGGCTATTTCTGCCGCTGAGAGAAGGTGTGTCTTTCCCCTCAAACTAGGTGCATGTTGCTGAGGAGGTAGGGGCTGAGTTCTTCCATCCATCGCCTACAAGTGTCAGGCGGCTTCCGGTTGGACAAGATGGCTACTCTGGTGGGCCTGTTTCCTCTCTGGTCTCTTTTTCTGTACAAGACTCACTCCACACCAGCTTGAGCTTGGGATCATTCTTTTGCTCCTCTCATCCTCCTACCCCCAGAGCTGACAGATTTAGCAAATAAAATTTACAAGATCCCGTTAAATTAGAATTTCGGACAACCAACCACCTACCTCACATTGACTCAGGAGAGTCCCTCAGAGATAACGAGGAAGCTCCATCCCTGCCCATCAAGCCCCCTCTCGGGGTCCCCTCAGGGAAAACAGTGGTTCCAGAAGGTGTGTTCCTACGCCCTTTCACAGCCTTCCTCTCTCCCATCCCTCTCTGACCCCAGGTTCCAGCTGGCCTGGGGATTTCTGGGAGGATCCAAAGAACAAGGCCGTCTGCAGTAGGAGCCTCCTCTTCCTCGCCGCCAACACTTCAGCCCTGCCCAACTAACAGCTCTCCATGTTCTAAAGAAGGCAGGACTGCTGGGCCACCCCAGCCTTCTGGAACCCCAGTTCTGCGACATTATCCATCTCCTGGAAATATGCTGGTTTTAACCATGCAAATTGGCGAAGCATCAGGCGGAAATAGCAGCTAGGCCTGGAAGGACAGGTGACATCTGTGAGGAAAATGGCCGGGCGGGACTGGGTGGAGAGCATGGGCTGTTCCCTTCCTTTCTGGGAACAGCGCCACCTTTGGGGGAACTCCTTCCCTCATGGGGTTTTAGGCGGGGGCTGCCAGTCCCAGGACCCTGCCCCCTGTCACCCCCCATAGTCATAGGAACGCTTGTGCGCCAGTCACTACATTTAGAAGTGGAAGCTCGTGGGCTGCTGAGCTTCTAACGGGAAGTCCATGTGTGCAGGGCCAGAGGACACGGCCCATCTGAGGCGCTAAGCTTCTGTGAAGAGGGAGTAGAATCTGGACAGGATTCCAGTTCCACGGTTTACCCTTTCCGCGACCCAAACACACCCTTCCCCTTCCTTCAATTCTGAGAAGCAATAAATGTCCCTACTTGCGAACAAATTTGAGTTGGGTTTCTGTCACTTGGAGCCAGAAGAGACCTGCCAGCTACAGTCAGCATCGGTCAACCATCTGTGAAACGGTGGCCTGACAACCTGTCCCCTCCCTGTGAAGGCCACAACATCCCAACACCATTAGTCACCATGGAAGTCTGGGAGAAATTTCTACCAAGTGTAGTGAAAAAGGGGCAAGGGAGAAAACAGTTCGTTACTGACAGCCCACTCTTCCCTCTGAAACAGGGCGGCAGGATCTGACAGAAAGAAAGTACGAGGGGCTGCTAAGTGGGCAGTGCTGCCCCGTGCCCTCCAGACTTCTCTTCCCAGCAGGGCAGCAGCACATGGCACCTGGGATAGGAGGCCTGCAGGGGCAGGAGGGAGGCTGGACATCCTGGGGGCACCACTTTACGAGGAACCATTTATGGCCAAAACTCTACGGGGGCTTCAGGGACCTGAATGAATTCGTCTCTGTAGAGTGAGTCCTGGGCAGGAGGAGAGGATTCCATAGCCCAGGACCACATGCTGGAAATGTGGTCTCTGCAGCTTAAAATCTGAGAGAAGATGGTGTCTGCAGCATTCAAAGGGGGACCAGAGGGAACCTCCGCCCCTGGCCCCCAGGCTATGACAAACATGAGCCCTGGGTAGATTTCTATCCATTCAAAGCACTGGAAAACCCAAGCTGGGGCCCATGAGTCAAGTCTAGATGTGCAGCTCAGGGCAAGAGGACAGATGGACGCCACAGGCCATCTGTCTAAATATTTGCAAGTTATACATTAAATTAACAGAGTGTTAAATAAAGTATGTTCTAACCTCAACCCCTGACAAATATTCCTTTAAAAGGATAAAATTTTAAAATGTGTATGAAGCTATGATTTGTAGATGACAGAAAGTTATCAATGTCAAAGATCATAAAATTTCTTTGCTTTTTTTTTTTTGAGACGAAGTCTTACTCTGTTGCTCAGGCTGGAGTACAGTGATGCGATGTTGGTTCACTGCAGCCTCTGCCTCCCAGGTTCAAGCAATTCTTAATATTGAGATCCATAATAAAATAAAGATATGTGTAATTCATAAATTACTGAAACTATTCCATGAAATTTATTTTGGTTCCTTTCAGCAAAATCAATTATGTTATTATTGTCAAGATTTAAAACTACATGTAAGGATTAAAACGGTCATATTCAAAGTACAAATATCTTAATATTTTCATCAAAAATATGTTTATGTAAAAAATTTAATTTTGTCAGAAATGTTCTCCAAAACAATGTTCTTTTCAAATATTGAAAAGTATCTATTGCTGGGCCCAGTGGCTCACGCCTATAATCCCAGCACTTTGGTAGGCCGAGGCAGG